CAACCCAAACCATTCTATGATTCTATAAAAAGATGGAGGAGTGTAACTTCTCCTCAGAGTGGTCACCATTGTGCTAACTGACTCAGAACATAAGGGTTACTAAAATATTTGCTTTGGTGTTATTTGAGACAGAATTCAATGGACAAGTCACAGTACACAGCTGCAAGAACAGACCAGCAGCTCTGATTCAAAGAGGAAAACCAATGCAAGATCTCTCTCTGGTGTTGCTATTCTCATAATTCCCACAGAATCGCCTTTAAGATTTGGATTTAAGATTCTTGAGATCATTGAAACAGCATTTAAATTTATCATGTAGAGTGATAAAAGCAGCTTATTTAATTACATTTTACAAGAGACTTTAGACAATTGTGTCTTCAAAACAATGTTTTCTTTTCCATTTTCTATTCTTTTCCAGAAAGTAGTAAATCTAGAGTCATGTTCTTTCACCAATTCTGTACAGACAGATTTTTTTCTGTTTGTAAGGTAATATTACTGAACATATCTATGTTAAGAAAAAGTCTACTTTAAGAAAATACTGTAATTTTTAAAGTTGTTTTCAAAAGGATGTATGTATAGCTGACAACATGTGGGTTTTATACTTAGAAAGAGATTCCATTTCTCCAGGTTGGATGACTCTACATCTTTTTATAGCAGGATTCATCTTCTTTAAATATTCATTAAATAGTAATGAAATCCTTCTCATAGGATTAATTTTGCTTTCACAAATGCTCATGTAAAGTTACCAATGCACGTGCTTCCCTAGAATTTGTATGTATACTTATTTCTCTTTATGCAGATACAATTTGTTTTTTTCTTTGAAAAGCAAAGACCAGACTGTAGCTTCTTTCTAACTGTGGACAAAACCCCCTCAGTTCTAGGTTTCTGTCACATTAACTCTGCTCCCTGCAAGTCTTTTGTAACCAAAAGCTAACCTGAGTCCAACACATCCACCCACCCTAGAGTTTTCTTTAGGTAAAGAAAGAAAGAACTGAGATTTTTAAGAACAGTATCCAACAATCTTACTCCAGCCAAGTTTTACTGATGAGTGTTCATAATTCCCGTAAGTACTTAATTAGCTATGCAGTTCCACCAGCACTTCTCTTTTGTTTAATAACACTATCCTCTGGCAAGACATGAATTTATCGAATCTGCCCCATTAATTTTAAAAAAAAAAAAAAAGTTATTCCCAAAGCTCATTCAGCTAACACTACCACAGTGTAGTGTTTCACACCTTGAAAATGCTTGTCACTACAAAGTATCTAGAGCTTACTGGAAAGATGAGATATATTTTATTCAACTGAAACCTTTACCATACAATTACTGCAAATAAATGCTTAAAATATTTAAAGGTGAATTAGTAGGTACTAATGACACAAAGCTGCTTTCCGTGTTTCAGATGTCCAAATAAAATGTAGTAAACTCACAAGTAGCTATTCCCATGATTCAGGCAAGGCTGTAAGACTACGTTTGTTAAAAAAACAACAAAAAACCCCACCACAAACAAACAAAACCAAACGCCAGTGCTATGTTTCCAAATCTATCAACTGGAAAGAATATTCATTTGATCAAACTGGTTTAAATAATGCTGTCACTTCCACAGAGACTCAGGGTCCAAACCCAAGGCAAATGTCAACCCTTAGCTGAAACATCAGCATGGTATTTACTGCCGTGGACTCACAGAGTACAGGGATGGGAGAGAGTTAGAAATGTTTTGTCTGATCTCTCATATGTCAAGAGGCACAACACCTCTTTGGACTAATTTCTCTTTTAAGTAGAACAAAGATGATACATGGACTGGAAAGGAAATGCCTGAAGAAAGCTGATGGAGGGAAGGTCTGACTCCATGAGGAGAAATGAAGACTCTCTTGGTTTGTATGCAACCACTGCATCTTCCATTTTACAGAAAACTTCACTGATGCTGCCTTTGACCACCTTCAAAAATAATTACCTCCACCTGCAATGTGTATTACTTTACTTTTATTCTGCTTCTACCACAAAAGCAATCTGAAGAAAACAGGAATTATGCCTATTAAGTAGGAGGAGCAGATCTGTAATTGTGCTAAGATTTAGAAATGAGAAAAAAAATCATTGAAATGTATGAAAAATTAAACAATTATTCAATAAATTCCATGCTATATCAAGATGCATAACTTGTAAAACTAGGCTGCAGAATTTCTTACTTTGCCAAAGAATGGAGTTTGGTAATTACAAGAGAGTCTGGCAAGGCTAAATATTTATTGTTTTCTTTCAGATATTTGGCTATCAGTGTCACAGTACCCATGCCTGGGAGAGAAAAGAGTAAACAACCATGGTAAAAAGACCATATAATCAAAAAATGAGCAGTGATTTACCAATCCTGAAATACACACATAAAAAAGACAAGGCAAGAGACAGAAGCCATGAGAACATTGCAAGCAGGCAGAAAAACTGGTTTAAGAGCATTTTATCTGCTAGAGACACTTGATATGAATGTGTTGAAGTATCTAAATGCAATGACAGGTTTAAGTTTACTTCTACTGATGTTAAAATATAATAATAAATCATAAAGTTATTGCCTAAAGAGGAAATCCTACCACTTCCAACACAGTATTTGGAATCTGTAGTAAAAAATTACCTCCTTGCCATGAAAGCTGTTTCAAGCTCTGCCTAGTTCACTTTCAGGAAACCACTATCATACTCTCAATATCATCACTATATGACTGATCAAGATGCAGGGACAAAGCTAAATGGCTTGACTAGCATTTTAGATGCTGAGCTGAAGCAAAACTTTGAATGCTCTAATTCATTCCTCGCACCCAGTCTGCACAGCACACTGTCAGGAAACAGTATCATCCTTTTCAACAACAGATCTTGGAGCTCATGGAGTACATGGTGAGACTACAGGCTGAGGTGAGCCCTGAGGACTTGTGAGGATGGAGCAAAAGACAAGGGAAAAGAAGCAAAAAGTGAAGGCGGGGGGGGAAGAACTGGGACTATAGCACAAAGCAGAAAAGATCAAAAGCAGTGGAGGAAGGGAGGCATGGGCAAGAATTGCTCAGGAGTGGTATGAAAATGATGGGAAACAGAATGATTTACTCAGCAAGACACACCAGACATTAGTAACCTACACAGTAAAATGAAAAGTAGAGGCCAGGGAAAAATTGGCATCAAAGATACATAACAATAGATTTTTTTTTTCATGCAGTACATCTTTTACCATGTTTCAATGTTATAATTCAGATGATAAATGCTCATTGTGTATATACACACATATGTATATATACATATACATAAATTATACACACATACATTCAGGATGGTTAACATGATCCAGCTCCCATCTGGACTACATTTCCTGAGGGAGTGCAGGCTAAACAGCCAATCACCTCATCCTCAGCTCAGAGCCTGAGGCTGCTGCCTCATCCCGGGGAACAGACAGACACACCACCACGTGCACACCCAGACTGGCTGCTGGGCCTGGGGAAGTGAGGGGCATGGGGAAGGGGGAAGCATCCTTGCAGAGTTGTCTCTCTATCCGAAGATGGAAGGGAATGAGGAAGAACACAGCTAATGCCTCAAGTAAGAGCATGTGTGCATGAACGTAGCATTACCGGGAAAGAGGGAGACAGCAGAGGCTCAAGCTGCTGCTATCACCCTCACAGCACACAGAAGGGAACTTGAAAGAGAATCCAGTTCCTATCCAGAACAATATAGCTGTACTAGAGCCTTTCCTGGAAAACCAGGGGTAATTGCTGGCTTTTGTGGGCTGTGCTTACCTGTTAAGCTGTCAGTAAATTAATCACGCAACTTTCAGCAGTCAGTATCAACAGAGAAACTCTGCCAGTGTAAAGGACACAGTAAGACAGAAAATCACAACTATTATGAGTGCAAGGGCAAACTGTACTATTTATTCATTTTTCTCCTAAATCTCTTTTATGGCCAGACTCCATAATAAGCCATATGACAGAAATCAAGATAAAGAAATGCTTTTTAAAGCAAATACATGATTTATTACTTTGATATCTGTCCGCTTTCTTCCTTCTCTTCCTTTTCTTATCTTGGACTGAAATAACAGAAGTTCCCACCGCAACAGTATGTAGCTGAGCAAGTCACCTAGATACTGTAGATATGTTTAGACAAACTTCTAGACAAAGATATAAATAAGCCTTGGATACAGCTATTCTCATTTTTGTTCTTCAGCATGTCTCTTTGTTCTCTAAGGATGGAATGAGAGTCTAGTGCCAGTGGAAAGACAAACTGATCTATGATGGGAGCTGACATGCTCCAAAATACTATTCTGGCCTTTAGAGAAGACAAAAGGGGAAAACAAGTATGCAGAGTTGTTAGGGGGAGGGATTCTGTTTGTTTTTATGCACTGCTTTTCTAAATCCCCTCCTAAACCCTTTTCCAAACTTCCTTGGAACAAAAACTCTAGCTAAAAGTCAATATATTGTTATGACCACTTTGTTGTCAGATGTATACTTTAATACCTTATACTTTACGTATCACAAAGCTACAGGGACTTCTGAACAATGCTCTACTTAGTTGATATTTCTCTGCCTGCAGATGTAATAGGAATGCAGACTGCAAATATCACTTAATATGTGACTTTAAAAGAACTGGGTCATGAGAAGGATTTTCTTGGATCTTCTTCTACTGCCCTGGACATGCTGAGCCTTTTGCTGCTGCTTTCATATTTTCATTAACTCCCATTTAAAGTGTTAGCTTCTCCTCTTTTGTGTTCCTACAATAGAAATCTTTCAGAATCTCACTTCTGTGAGGGTTAGAAAACTATATCCCATCTCTAGCACAGACGCATTTGCAAATAATTCATGTATCTCTCCATCTCAGGTAACAGCAAAGGACCCTAGAGAAGTATAAAGTGAAGCAAGTTCAATAATCTTCAGTACAGTGAAACCCAAGGAGCTCATTAGCTGATACTTACGGAGGCGTCACTCCTTTCGGGAGGCCTAATGCGTTGACAGAAATGGGTGGCGGCTGGGATGGCAGCATGGAGCTGAGAAAAGCTGCTGGAGACTGGCCGGAATTAGGAAATCTGGGAGTTGGAGACAGGCTGTGGGAAGGTGAAGAAAGTGAAGGAAGAGGAGGGGGTGGAGGAGGTGGAAGTGGAAAGGAATCACACACCGGATATGTTGCAGTTGGACTAAAGACAGGTGGAGGCGGGGGCGGAGGGGATGGAGAAGAAGGAGACCAGGCATACTCCCCTTCTGGAGCAAACTGCTGAGAGAAAGGGGGAACAGGCACTCTCCCAAACTGTTTCTGAGAAGCAGTTGGAGACATAGGAGAAGGAAGGCTGGACGTAGATGATCCCGAAGACGGAGTCACGTAACCTGAAGCAGGGCTGATGTTCTGAGCAGCAATGAACTGCTTAGGCCGAGCATAGTTGAAGGAGCTGGAAGACTGCATGGTCGGGGAAGTATGAGAGTTAAGAATACTCATTGGCACAGGAGAGGTAACAGACTGGCTGGACTCAAGCTCCTGGAAGGAGGGGGGAGGAGGAAAGGAAGGAGAAGAGGGAGGGTGCTGATGATGATCAGGCTGCTGTTGGTGACGATACCACTGGCCACTTTCTTGCTCCAGACGAATTTGGTTCTGCAGCTGCTGTATTTTTATAGGGTCCCTGTAGGAAGGAAAAATAGACAAAAAGTTGATCAGACATGCAGTGCTGGTTGGGGAGTTCCACTGATCTATGGTCTAGGAAAATCAGAAGGCAAGGAAAGTTCAAAGCGTTTGCATATCTTGAATAACCCTATTTCTTCAGAGCTAAAGCATTGCTACGAAAGTCTTTTTTTTGAGCTCAAGAAGGTGGAAAAAAGTATATGCATAATACAAGTTAACAGAACCTTCAATTCTTAAAAAATGTAAATCTAAGACAGTTTGAAGACACTTAGGATATTTTAAAGGAGCAAGCCAGATAAAATAAGTAATGGGAAAAATGTTGAAGTTCCTAAGAAGGTTTCTTTTGATTTCATGCCTATTTCATTCAGTGGCCCTGTGTCAGTAACAAGCCTCAGATATCTACCCAGTGACAACTTCAGCCTAGTTTTCTGTAGTCTCTGTGGGCCGATCAGACAGACCTAATTACTGCCATACTTTTAACAAGGTACTTGGAGACAAGGAACCAACTTCTGTGTTAAAACTATCCGTGTATCTGTAGATGAACAAAAATGACTTCTGAGAAATATTTGTAACCTACGGAACTGAGCTTCCCCATGTCTTTAGTCCCACTTTTCTTTACAGGCTTTATTCTTAAACGTAGGTCCTGAGAAGTATCTTAGTAGATACTGAATACAGTTCTGAGGAATTGCTAATTACAGTACTATTAGCTCAAATGGAACTGAGAACTTATTTTTGAAATGCAGACATTCACTAGCAGAATAAAGACTAAAAAACTAATATGCAGGAGCACTCAAAACTGTTAAATAAGTTAAAAAAAAAAAAGGCAAAATGTTCAGCAGTGAAGCAAACCAGACCATGCACTGGCTTTTTTTTTTTGTCCACAATACAGATGTTTGAATGACACTGAGATCAAAATTAACTGTGTGGTCTATCATCTTGAAATACATAAGACTGACTTGCTTAAAAATTGTCATGTTCCAGCTGGAAATCATAACTTTATCTCAATACTCCAGATGTCCACAAAGTTCCAGCATATGCATATATACCTTTTCTGTATATTTAGTATATAAATACTTTATTATATACAACTGTGTCATTGTTTATATATAATTTAGGCCATTTAAGCAGAAATTTTAGAAGCTGTCTGCTTAATGCATGGCATACGAACATATGATTCTGGCACAACAAAATACTTTTGTTGGTAGCAACAAAACCAGAAATGGTAATATCATCATATTTTCCACTCTAAGATTAATTTTGATATTTCAATCATCCACATTTCCCAGAAAATGTTTTCTGACAATAATTCTGCTTATGATCGCAGGCCAAAGGAGATTGTTTAGATAAGAAAACGGGGAGCAAGCTTGTTCAGGACAGAAAACTGAAAAATCAGTTATTTACTTTTTCAAGTTTTTTTTCTTTTCTGTCATAAAGATGGTTCAATTCTAGCAACATCAGTTATCTCACCAAGAATACATATTTCAGTACTTGAAAGGAGACTGCATTTTCCTGTTTAATTAAATCAGCAACAAGAACATCAAAATGTTGCAGTTCACTTGTCAATTTTATAATTCATTTTTTAATGTTGACAATAGAGATTGTAAATCCCTATCAGCTCAACTTTTCACTCCATAGGACACGGCTGAACCTTATTATTTGATTTTTGCTAAATTACATGAAAGTCTTCTTTCCCTAAATGGGCTAAAGCAACACAATTTTAGTTCCCATCATCATTTGACTTTCTTGGCTGATGACAGAAATACTTCTGGTCACCTCTGATTGGAAAGAGAAAGATTACAGAAAGTTGTAAGATTACTACTTTCAGCTCGTTCTGTATCTTTAGTCTATTTGCAAACCTACGGTCCAATACCTCTACAATTATTTACAAATAATACTTATTTTATTTTCCGTCATAATCATCCCCAATAATTTTTTTATTTATTACTGAGATGCTAAGGTTAAAAAACAATGGGGGAAATTTAGTATTGTAAATGGTGCATTGAATATAGAAGAAACTTAGCTGTCTCCAACACTCCTGTGTTTACCCAACATGTGCTGAAAGCAAGTCAGAGTGTCTTGTCTTGGGACTTTATGTTCGTTGCCAAGTCACATGGTGATGTGTCCGGCCAACAGCATAACACAAATGACCATCTATGGCCCTGTCAATGGTAAGTCGTCTACTACTACAGTGCCTGCCACTGAACTGCTGCTGGACCAATCCGGGCAGAAGTAAGATTCAGGGTATGTCTAGAAAAGGTTGGCAGGCAAACGTGGCGTTGCTCTGCTCTCACACTAAGCTTGACTTGAGGCCAGAAGAATATACATGCCTGTAAGTCAGGGTCTGTTAGCTCAGGGCAGCACTAATTCCATTTGAAAAGCTTTTGATCAACTTAGGGTCCAGACAAAGCAAGTGCATGTCTGCTTGAAAAATAACATGCAGACATAATCATTATCACATCAGTCCACATAGCAAAAAACATAAAGACCTCCTTAGAGCAAATTCTCATTCCAGTGGTAGGTAGAAATGCACAATCCTTGTCTGCAAAGGAATGTTCTTACCTCAGCTATTCTTTTAACAGCAGATACTGCCCTATACTTATTAATTTCTTGAGTAATTGTATCCTAGGGATGTGTCATTATGACGAAGAAAAAAAAAAAGAAAAGAATTATCAATTCACAAGTGTTCCTTTGCAATGAGCGGTGGAAGCTCTGCACAGGTAAGTCCCTGAAAGATAACACTGCTGTGCCACAGATACAGAGAGCCCCAGCAGCCAAAATTATGCAAGGGAATTGGTCTGTTATGTTGCCCTCATCAGTAGGAAAACAAATAAGGGAATTAAAAAGAGTTCAGGTTTTGGATGAGATTACAGGAAAAATTAGTTTAATTGTAATTACATCCTCTTTCCAATTAGCTGAAATATGTTTTGTAATCCCAGTGTTTTAAAGAGCACACATGCTTTCAGGGAACACATCAAGCTTGTTTAAACAATAGAGAATAAACCTTATTTTCTCATGTGGAGTTTTTGGTTTTGTCAAATAATTAATTATAACAATGTATGAATAAACAGTTAAAAGTATTTTTTTATTAAGATTCAATCAGTGAATGGCAAAAGTAATTAAAAAAAATCATAACTAGGGTAAAGTGCATATTGAGAAATTTCAGCAACTCACTGAAAAGCAGGCCTAGTAGTACATAAATAGTCTCGAAAAGTCTGCTTCAGTATTTGTCATTCTTTTTTCAATACCAGATCATCTTAACCAAAATTTTTATATACATTTTCAGATGTTCTAATAGGTATGCTAAAACAGTTAAAGAAACTCAAACAATAAAGCAGTAGTATTATACTGGAAACAGACAGTTGCAACAGAGGGAGGCGTTTCTGGCGTGCATTGCCTGTAAGTACAGCTGTGTGCACAGGTTCTGTTCTGGGCACCTGGAACCTGCTCAGTAAGGTGATGACTTTCAGAGCAAAATGATAGTGAAAAACATTTGAAAACAGATGTTCAAAGGAAAGACCAGAGACATTAGGTTTCCATTAGGTTTCTTGGTGGGCAGCTATAGAATACTATCTTTTTAAATGCAAAACACTGATCGTATAAGAAAATAGCAGACAGAGGTGATCAGAATCTTCTCTAAGGATGCCAATGCACATGGCATATTTTAATAGTTACTCAAGAATTCATATTCTGAGGTATGCACTTCATTTAGATTATAATAGGCTGGTTTATCTTTTTATCCCATTTTCAGAATGTTTTTTCTTTCTGATACTTTCTTTGCTTTGAAAATTAATCTTCATGGTTTTGAAAATTAATAAAGCAGTCCTCGACTTTGAGAACTAAACTGGTAACAACCAGCATCAGGAAACGTAACTCCAAGTGCCTGGACACAGTGCTATGGAGGAAGGGAGACAGGCAGATGGTTGTACATCTCTGAGGGTCTCAATAGGAACTGGCTACTGGATTGCAGAGGACATTACAGCAGATGGCATTTTCAGGGATACAATAAATCCTTCATAATGAAAGTTCTCTATCGGGCTCATTCACAGGTTCCCGATATTAGAATATGTACCAGCTTTATTTTTATCTTACATCTCTGGGATCGTGAAGAGCATAAAAAAAGTTTTATTTAGAGGAACAATGCCCCTCTTCTGGGAACCACCCTACTATTCACAGTTTAATCATCGACTCCTCAGTATAACCTGGTCTGCGTAGCTTTTAAGCACAAAAGTTCACATGGAAGGCCTTCTATCCAGACTATCTTGGAGGGGGAGGTTCTCCAAAGGTAGGGGGATGCTGTCCAAGCCTTCAGGGAATCAGTCATACACAAAATGAACCCTATCCAGGTAGTGTCTACCACAAAGTGTTGTGAGGACATTGAAGTTTATTCAGTGTTTTACAACATAATATATGGAGTAGATTGAAATAAACCACCACAGATAAAGAACCAAGATTAAATAAATTTTTCTGTGCTATAACTTTTTTAAATTCCTGACTTTGGCCCTCTTGATCTTAACAAAAGAAAAGGAGCAAATGGAAAACAGACAAAGAAAAACAATTTTTGTTTGAAAGAAAGAGTCCTAGCTATCTCATGTATGGAAGAATAAGGGGCTCGCTTCTGCCTTAAGTCATTCCTGAGTGAAAGCAGACTGGCCCCTTCACAATCCTACCAGCAATTTGCCCTTTGAGAAACAGACAGTACAGTTCTACAGCAATATACAAAACATACCTCTGAAATCAAAGTACAGGAATATTTTCAATGAAAATAATCAGCATTAACCACAACTTCAAAAGCTTGAGCTAGTTTTCTAAATTAAGATTTGAAACCAATGCCGGAAAACCCCTGTATTTGTATTTTGGGGTAATAACTACTCACCTCCATGAAATCTACCCTCCAATGAAGACCTAGCTTCTAAGTCAATGCTACTGCTTCAGAATCATGCCAGAGCTCTACCAAAAGGGAAACAGTCACCATCATGCTGTATTAAAAAGCAAGAACTCTTC